TTCCTTGTCGCCTTGACTTTGTAAGCTCTGCATGCTTCTCGTTGAACGCATACCCACATTCTTTGATTCAGAACTATGTCGACCATCACTACTAGGTGATCTAATCGGGGGAGATTGTGTGGAACTTTTGCTTAAACCAATTCCTTCACGACCTCCATTATAAAATTCTTGTTTTGTTGGGCTGAGTGACATCGGTGAAGTTGGAGATCGCATTACGGCATCACCATCTAAAAATTATCTAAAGTTAACACATATATCGTCCGAATTCTAGATGAATTAAATATAGTTACCCGAGAATGTTCCCAAGTTCGGAGATTTCATAGAACCCGGGGTAATGTGTGTTGACGTTGGAGATATTGGCGACGCCACAAATTGAGCCTTTACGAATATGTTTGTGAGTCGAAGAATAAATTTCTTAAGATACGAACGAACATTATTAATCTATGGAATTTTACCTCCAATTCTAATCTTAACTTCGTTCTTCGGAACAAAGGAAAGATTTGTGCATCCTCAGTTAACGCGACATACACTTCTCTACCTTTTGCTAATTCCACTCCGTGCTTCTCAGAGGCTTTAGCTATCGATATAAGGATGTATTCTCCCACGTATTCCAACACAGCAGTCAAATATATAGCTAGACTTGGTGCAATGTGAATACCATCGGCACCGTACAGGTCGGGTATTGAATTAGGATCACGACCATCAAAACCATGTTCGCCTAAGGTGCTGAAAAATCGGCATTTTACACGAAACTGTTCAAAGACTTTTTGCAAAGGAAAAGGATTTATTTCGATGGTTCTTTCTTGCGTATTATCATAGTTTCCACTTTCCACGTAAGTCTTTAATTCCAGTTCTGCTTCTTGGACGGCATTTTTACCCAAATTGGTTGGTAAAACTTGGCTAATAGCTTGTTTTATGCGTACCAGGTCAAGGGATCTAGCAGAATCTACCAGAAAATATAAAAATTCGTCAAGAAAGATGTTTATGGCCAGTAAAGCTTCGGATGAGATGCGGTAAGGTGCGACGTCTACTATGATGGAGTTCGCCGCCCGTTGAGAAATGTAAAGAGTGTCTAGTATAGAAAATAAAACGTTTAGCAGAGGTAAGTTTCCGACGAAATTCAGATCTTACAACGAAGGAATGAAGGTTCCCTGTTGAGCATATGAAATATATAGTTTTATATAAATGTGCAGAAACGTGCACCTCGACCAAAAGACAAAGAGAAGTAGACAGATTATAAAGATAAAAAACATTCTAAAAGTCTCTCGGTATTGTGCACAAAATATTTCTCGCATTCAGATAAATCAAATTTATTTACTTTTCATGGAGTCTATGGCCATGTTTAAGGAAGTTCCAGGAAAGGTGTTCCTTTCTCAGTTAAATTTTATAATCGATTGACCTCCTTCGAAGAGTAAGAGTTATGAGGGAGACCAACAACGAATTTTTCGGTTTTATAAAATGAATACATACTGTCCAATTACGTGACCGGGATTCACCTTGATATAAATTTGAACCAGTAGAGTTCATCGAAAAAATTTAAACCTTCCATAAGTGGTAATTGACCGAGAGTTAAAATTAAAGTGTAATATCTTTTGGTACACGACATCCTTGTACACGAGACTGCATAATTCCTTTCCTAAATGTTGTATACTTATTTCCCGTGAACTTCAACAATATAAAAAAGTTCTTTGATTTTCTTAGTACAATAAATTAAAAAGAAACAACAAGTGAGGAACAATTGAATATACCCAATTACATCGTATAACAAATAGAAGTATTAAATGTAATGGTTAAATAATAATTTTGCAAATAATAACTTCTTTAATCCTTTCACCGTCTCTTGTCCGTAGCTCGCTATTGCCTATAAATCCATGTACTTTTTTATTGCCTTTACCAAATATTTTCTTATTTATTAAAGATCCTTAATTGATGTTTTTCTCGTTTTCAAAAATTATTACATTTTTCAACATTATACATTATTCTATTGTTTGTTCATTTTCCTCTGATGTCGTTACACGAAATATAAATTGTACTGTATTATAAAAATAACATTTGAACCCTTGTATGAGGAAATATTCCGATACTGTATATTAGAAAGTCTAATTAATTCAACTTAATTTTTTTTAAGTAACAGAAATATTCCGAATAATTTAAAATGCTAGATGTCGACAGTTTCGGTTAAATATCATTCAGGAATTTTGTAAAATACATTACAATATGTTTGCTATTATTATTAATTAATTTACTATAATTAACTAGTCTATATCTTTTTTTTTCTATAATCAAACAAGTATTTATTATGTTTATTTAATCATTAGAGTTGAAAACATATTAATACAGGATTTTTATGCTAATACTTGAATACCTATCACTGATTATCAATCTTTAAATATAATTTTGAAGATAAATAAAGTTGTTTGTTCATTTCCTTTATTTCTAAAAGGATTTGAATTTATTGCTTACAATTTATCACTACAGTTTATCTTAGCAAGATCTTAATTACATTATATTCCTAATCACTTGATTTTCTTCTTTATTTTATTTCATAAGGTTTGTATGAAGATCTCTAATATTATTATTTTTTTGATTACTAAGTTTATATCTGTTGATATTATTATTATCTCATTTTTTTTCTTTTGTAATCTGAGTTTATTCTTGGACTTGAATATTTTCTTGACATTTTTAGATTGAAATTTGTTTTTTTTCCTTTTCCTTTATCATATATTCTTTTGCAATTATAGATTTTTTTATTTCTTATATTTCAGATTTGTTGATAAAACTCTTTGCTTTAAATTTATAATACTTTGTTTAGGATTTTTTGAATTACTATTTTATATATCTTAAATATATAACATATAATAGTTGCAGAAAAGATCTGGACTTTTCTTATAACTAATAAAAAACTTATAAAATAAACTTTATTTGTATAAAAATTTGTCAATTATCATAAAAAAAAAATACATAAATATCAATAGTCAAATTTTTTTTTCTCTCTTTCAATTACTTGTTCAAAATGGTTTTTCATATTACCTGCTAAATTAAGATAGAGGTCTTAATTTAAACCATCCTATTTTTTTTGAATAATTAACTAAAAATCAATAATGCTAAGTTTTTTTTTTTTATAAGCCTATTGTTTATAGTTTTTTCTATTCTATTTTTTAATATGGCTTATAGATTCTCTATAGAATTTAGACCAAGTGAACTCAAAAGCCAATTGAGCATTCGAATACAATGATCTTCAAAAAGCTAATATGTAACCTGAGTCATATAGACAAGAAAGTTATTTTGCTGGAAATGCCAACCACAACCTGCTTATAAAGCATTAAGAAAAAAATAGGTTTTAAGAATTTTACAATATTTTTATAAGTTAAGGTTTTCTGTAAATAAAACTAGTACGATTGGCTCCTGTGCAGAAAACGCTTCTTATACATGAATTTTGAATGGATGTTTTATTATACTACAGTGCGGATGCAAGTTTCTATAACTGTATTTTACTTGTTATATGTTTCCGAACATTTGTAATATTGTTTCATTGAAAAAAATCATACTAAACCATTTGTTTTGCATATGTTTATAGGTCCAGTTAAGAGAGGCAGCAATATAGAATAATTGGAGAAGAGAAATGCATAATTGTCAACAAACAATATATTGAAGATTCTTTTTAAGAACTTTTTGAATAGTATAAATTAATATATTTAAGTTGGAGCAGATTTCATTAAGTCTGGCAATTACTTCAATAGCAGTAACCATATTATTAACTTGTATGAGTTATTCAAGATAATGATATTCTTTTAACATAAGAATTTTGGATTTTTCAAAAATGGAAAATAGGACAAGTATATCTCTTTTTTTGAGTCAATTTATATAATAATATGTTGTACTCTTTGAAAAACCTATAATTCATATAATTTTGACAAGTTTCCTTATACTATTATTTTATAATTGTCTTACAACTGTTTTTTGTACAGTGAGATCAGTATTAGATGACATTATTAATATTTAGTACTGATTTGATAGCTTAAAATAATCGAGTTATTTATATAAACCAGTATGTATGAGTCATTTAATATAAATAACTTATTTCAAAAATAGACTTGTCTAGAATTCAATTGTCATCACACTTTTTTATATAATGAAACAAAAGTTAAAATCTTTTCTATACTTACTGTCATCAGAAAATTTTTAACAAAGATCTTCGAAAATCTTCAAACATAGATCTCTAAAAGATCTCTGTTATTATTAAAAGACTCCGGAGTGAAATTTAATATATTAAACTCTGAAGATCTTCAATTTAATTTAATAATAATAAAATATATATATATTTTTTCCGTAATCAAACAAGTACATACTGTTTATTAAATCTTTATAGAAAACAAATAATGTATAATACATCGTATTGCATAAACTATTTTACTGACTTGAACACCCATCTTTGACTAATGTCTCTAAGCATGACTTTGGAGATGAATAAAGTTGTTCTTTTTGGCATTTACTCATTTATAGAGTTTAATTCCAAAGGTCATTGCCTGCAGTTCATTACTATAGTTCATTTTTTCAAAATCTAGACTACTTTTTATATTCCTAACCATTTTTTCCCCTCTTTGATCCATTCCCAAATCGAGATCTTGTCTTGAATTTGTGTAGGGAAGTCTTCTATATTATTTTCTTGTGACTCTCTTAGGCTTGTTTTCTTCTGATTGGAACCTCTTGATTTTCTCTTCTTTTTCCTTGTCCCATGTGTGTCTTTTTTCCTATATCTGAATATTTTGGGTTTTCTTTCTGAGTTTTGTAATCTGGCACATCTGTCGTTCCATTGTTTCTTCCTAACTTGCTTGCAGATATTTCTTGAAAACTTCTTTAGTAACTGCCTTGCTTCATTGGTTTTGGTCTTGACTTTGGTCATTGCTTGTATCTATTCTTATACGTCTTATTTTGAGAAAAATCCCAAGCACAGATTTATGATTTCAATACCTGTGAAAAATTTGCACCTGTGCTATCTTTGTAAAAGCTCTTGTATTGTAGTTTGCCTATCTTGTATTTCTTCTGCCTGAGCATTTTCCAGCCATTTATTAAGTAGCTGATCCTGGCTTTTGCTCCATATTTCTCTATGTATTTCTGCGATGTTGTTACATGAGAGTAGATATTCCAAGGATTCTTCTTCTTGTTGACAGTATAAGCACTTGGTCAGGTTTGTGTATTTTGTGAGGAATCTTTTGATCATGTTGTCCAGGGTTGGTAATTCATTGTGCATTAATTTTATCTGGAAGGTTTTTTTTCGGACTTGTTTGAAAGATGTCATTAAAGATCCTTCTACTTTGTTTGCTTCCCAGAGGCTTTTTCAGTCGAAGTTTTCTTGATTGTCTATTTTTCTGATCCATCTTTTTTGTATTTGATTTTGATTTGCCCATTTTATTAGAGTGCTTCTCTTGTATATTTCTTTAACGAATTCTCTTGTTCCTATATCGATAGGAATCTTGTTCCAGCATAGTGTTGTTAAGGCTTCTTGTCGGTACCAGCTGTTCCAACAAATTTCTGGTTCTTCTTTTACTGCTTTGGTGAGAAGGTCCACCTTGTTATTAGCCTCGTCCTTGTTGTGGGCTTTTACTTTGGTCATTTGAATTGTGATTTGTTTCTTGTGTATTAGGTCTATGTATCTCATCCACAATTGCCAGTTTTTCTGCTTTCTGTTTCTTTTTCCTATATCTCTGATGTGGGGGTTGAGGAGCTTTTGCAGGGTGTTGATACAGGTTGTGCAATCTGTTCTGATTTCTATTTGACTTTTCTGAGGTATGACCAAGAGTGCTAGAATAATTGCAACGAGTTCTGCCCGAAGTACTGATGGCCAGTTGTCTACTCCTGCTTGAAAAGATCTTCCTGGATTTGGTCCTTGAACTTGTAGCCAGGCAGCTCCCATTCTTAGTGATTGGTCTCTCGCTTTGCCATATGATCCATCTGTGTAAAAACAATAGAGCTGTCAGAAGTTACTTTCTTTATTGATTCTATATTCTTTTATTAGGGATTGTATGTAGTCTGGAGATTGAATGTGTTCTTTGATTATTTGTACTCCCCAGTCTTCTATTTCAACTGTCATAATACAGTTGTTAGTAATCTCTTTTTTCTTGTAGTGTTTCAATTCTTTTTTGACGAGGTTTTCCAAAACATATATACTGATTGGAATTTCAGGTTCATCTGCTTTTCTAAGAGTCAAACATTGATTAATAATATCACATGACAGTAGTCTGATCTTTGATCTTTTGTTGCTTCTGTGGATGTTTGTTCTGGTTGATAAACTCCTTGTTTTCTTGTTGGTCTGGGATTGAGTGGTGTCTTTGCTTCTTTG